CACTTGATTCATGAAGGAAAGATAATGTCATTGACCTATATGTTAGAGTAAGTGAGTGAGTTGTGAATAATGTGTGGTACTTGTGAGTCAAATCTTGAGGTGAAGATGTTACACTCTTGTGCTTAGTCTATTTTAAATATTCTTGGTGTGATGAGTTAGGAGAATTGTTTAAAAAGGTCGTGTATATATAAAGTGTAGTTTGATTGCTCGAGGACGAGCAATGGTTTAAGTGTAGGGTGTTTATGGTAGGCTATAATTACATATTTTAGTCGCTTATCGCACTTTAATTTACTGTACTTTAATTGAGTTTGAGCTTTAATCGCTAGTGTTTTGCACTAATTATGTGTTTTATGCCTTGTAGGAGTGATTTCGAGCTATGTAGATGTTACTGAATGAAATCAATCTATTTGGAGCTTTGAAGTCTGAGTAAAAGCCCAAGGGATTAAGCCGGAATCGCGTTCGGGGGTCGAGAACCACATCCGAATGTCAAAAACCAAGAAAAAAGCCTATCTCTGTCAATTAATAAACCAGATAAATTAATTAGACAATTTAAGTAGAAAACTCAATGGGATTATTAGTTAACCCATAGCTCTGGAATATTTTCTCCCATTGAATTCGCATCTAAGCTTGCCGACATATTTTCTTTAATTTCTTAGTTTTCAACTCTAGATTAGTTGTAGTTAATAATCTTTAGGAATCGCTTGAATAGATTACTTGTCTTAGTTTAATTTAGTAAATAGTTAATCACAAGTCCTTGTGGGTACAATAATTGCGTATGCGTTTGGGTGCAATATATGTGTCATGGATAGGTTCATTGTGGGTCCTTGAGAGGTTATAGACCTATTCGGGGATAATCGAAATCGGCTTGAGGTCCGTTGGTAAATCTAATGTGAATGTATGCTCTACATCAAGCCGGATGCGTTGATTCAGCATAACATTGTTTATGGAGGAGTCTTCGGGCGTTGGATGTTATTCCTGCCGTCAGCTATTCTATGTAATACTCTATTATACCATGTGGGTTGTGAGATGGCTTGATTATTCGCACATGTGTTGTGATCCTGTGTAGCTTGTGGTGTTATATGAGAAAGATGGCTCTCGAGATGCAGGTCATTTATTGCACCTTAGTCATGCTTGGCATTTTGTAGTGCATGGGGTTATCTGTCTCACCAGGGTTGTGTTTATGCACTTGATGTGTTGGTGGTCGATATACGGGCATTTTGTGGGTATGAGCATTCTTGCTCGGTAGTACTTTCTTATTGATTGTATGTATGGATCAGGTGGCACGCCGCCACAAGTATGATGTTTAGATTAGGTTGCACGCCGCATCAGTGAGATGTTGAGTACGGTTCCTTATACTTATTTCGTGTGTGTTGTTTCTTACCCTTGGGATAGGTTCATAACATTTGTCTAGTTGATTTGGGTGTTATGCGGGCTGGGTAGTTCTTTACCTGAGTTCGTTTTTCTTATTGGCCATATTCGAGTTGTAGCTTGTTGGCGCATTGATGACGTCATACGAGATTGTAGACGATGTTTGAGGTGGCTTATTACCCGAGCGTCTTGTACTGGATAAGACGAGGTTGTTAGACCTAAAATCAGTGCAATCGAATTTATATAAGGTATATTAGAGGGAAAATGTCACTATGGTTGGAGGATGTTATTATGGGCATATGAATTATGCGGTGCATTGTGTGATTTCAGCATGGGTGCATGATCATATTTTGGTACAGCGTGTTGAGATTGATACGGTGTTCCTATGTTAGAATCAGGTCTTGTAGAGAATTTCGGATGTTGGAATTTGGTTCTAAGGCTTGTGGGCTAAGGTGGCAGGAAGGATCTTCAGTTTGGCTTGAGCTGATATGCTCATATGGGTTGTGGTGGCATGGGTAGGTGCACGAGGTGTTAGACAGTGCTTTTGGCAACTCTGGAACGGTTCTTGGCACGGTTGAGGACGAACGTATATTTAAGTGGGGGAGAATGTAACGACCTGATCGGTCGTTTTGAGATCTAGCATGTCGTTCAGCGGTTTGAGACCTTGAGTAGCTTCACTTCATGTATTATGACTTGCACGCGTGGTTATTTTCAATTTTTGAGAAGTTCTGAGTTGATTTGGAAGAATAATTCTCAATTCGGAAGCTTTAAGTTGAAAGAGTTGACCAAGATTTAATTTTTGAGTAAACGACCTCGGATCGGAGTGTTGATGATTCCGTTAGGTCTGAATGGTGATTTTGGACTTCGGCGTATGTCCGGATTGGGATTTGGAGGTCCGTAGGTTAATTTGATATTTTTTGACGAAAGTTGGAAGATTGAAGGTTTGGAATGTAGATAGGTTTGACCAAGATTTGACTTTATTGATATCAGGTCCGGATTATGGTTTCGGGAGTTGGTATAGGTCCGTTGTGTCATTTGGGAATTGCATGCAAAATTTGAGGTCATTTCGGGTTGATTTGGTATGGTTCTGCATGAGTTTTAGAAGTTTAAAAGTTCATTAGTTCATTAGGCTTGAAATTATGTGTGATTCATAGTTTTGATATTGTTTGGTATGATTTGAGGCCTCGAGTAGGTTCGTGTTATGTTTTGGGACTGGTTGGTGTGATTGGACGGGGTTCCGGGGGCCTCGGGTGTGTTTCGATGGGTTTGGGTCGTGTCGCACTCTTATTTGATGTTTCAGCGTCGTATCTTTGGGCGTAAAGGGTAATATATTGAGAAAATGACCTTTGATTTGTGATTTGATTGAACCATTAGATCTGTATCGCAATTAGGAAACCATAGCAACAAGAATCGTTGAATTCTGATGTCGTACGAGAGAGCTATGTCTATTTTCGTGTTGGAAAAGATTGTTGGTTTCTGGTGCGAGCTTTTGTTCTTCGCGAACGGGAAGAAGGAATTTTGGGTTGACCAGTTAATGCGTAAAATTTCTCTTCGCGAACGCGAAGGTCTCCCGCGAAGGCGATGAACAAAAATTACCTAGGCAATGTTTTATATGGGCAAACCGAGTATTTTAGTATTTTGAGCATATCTTGAGTTCTAGAGCTCCGTTTGAGGTGATTTTTAAAGCATTGTTCTCGTCTCAACAAGGGGGTAAATATATAACCTTTATTTGATGTTTTACCATAATTATTTCTGTTTGTTATTATTTTTATCCGTATTTAGATTGTAAAAATTGAGATTTTGAACCCCAAAGTTGAGAAATGATAAATCCTTGATTTGAGGGTCAATTCATGGACGAAGTTAGATGGTTTTCTTGATATAGACTATATAAGTTATGTGTAATATTTATTTTTGATAATTTTCAAAATTCGGGCACGTGGGCCCGGGGTTGACTTTGTTGACTTTTCGAGCGGAGTTGGAAATTGTTATAAATTGTTAAGTTATGAGTATTTGAGTATATTTTGATTGATTTTCACGTTGTTTGGCTAGTTTCGGATCGATAGGCATCGGTTTGAGGTGTTAGAGAGGTCGATTATTGGATTTCAGAGAGAGGTAAGTCTCATGTCTAACTTTGTGAGGGAAAAATTACCCCATAGGTGATGTATTTGTTATGTGCTACTTGTTATGGGGGTTACGTACGCACGAGGTGACGAGAGTCCGTACGTAGCTAAAATTATGCTTATGTCCGAGTAGACTTAGGATTATATCATGCGATATTTGTATTACCTGAACTCAACTTGTTAGTTTAATTACCTAAACTTATAAATGTAATTTGATTAGAGATCATGTTAGGTCGAATCTCGAAACCTTGTGTTGTTTGACGGGATATCCTATTACTGGTAATTGTTATGCTTACTTTATGTCCATGTTCTTGAATTGCACGCACGTGACTCGTAATTCGATAAGTTTCTCCTCTTCCTGTGGATCGGGCCGAATACATCGGCAGTATATTTGAGATGCACTTATGGTTCGCGCCCGTCGACCCTCGGCAATGTACATACTATTCTGGATCGGGCCGTACGAACTCGGCATGACTCATGCGTAATATTTCTAAGAGTCTGAATATTCATGAGATTCTCGTTTGATTGAGATCTGACAATTACATGTTATGCCTTGTTTGTTTGAGATAGCACTTGATATTCCTTACCCGTTTGAGATAGCCTGTGATTTCTTCTATTTGTTGAGATAGTACATGAAATTTGAAAAATTTATGTTGTCATCAGGTTGGAGGGTTATATTAGTTACAGTTCTTGTCCCATTATTATTGTTGTATTTCATATCTGTTTATAATTTATTATATTGATTTATTGTACCACTAGTAAGTGTCGATGTCAACCCCTCGTCACTACTTCTCCGAGATTAGGCTAGATACTTACTAGGTACGCGTTGATTTATGTACTCATGCTACAATTCTGCATTTATTGTGCATGTATGTTTCTGATGGTCATTTGGGCGCGTAGGCGCAGTTGCCGAGGGGACTTTATAGTGAGTTATATTCTATGTTACGATCTGCAGCACACAGAGTCTCCATCATAATTATTTACTTTATCCTGTGTATCTCATATATTGTATTATTATTGTACTTCCTAGTAGATGCTCATGCACTTGTGACACCGGGTTTTGGGATGTTCTAATAATTGTTTGTGGTTTTGCTTAACACTGTCACAATTTTATTTTATATTTTACCAAATTGTATATACCATGATTTTTAATGCATAGATTTATTTATTTAATAAAAATTCATAATTTTAAAAGTAATAAAATAAATAATTAAGTTGATAGTTCACCGTTGGCTTACCTAACGGCTACGTTGGGCGCCACCACGACCTACGGCAGGAATTGAGTCGTTACTGGCTACCTTGTTCAAAACTGTAGTGTATACTCCCCTTTTCGTGAAATTTCATCCTTTCTCTCTATTCTTTATATATAAGATCCTAGGATGGAATTCTTCGAGAAAGCTGTTAGGCAAAAAATCAACCATGCAAAAATTGTAGATTAAAAGATGGACCTTCTTTTTAGGAAGTTGATTGGTGAATAGATTTGAAATTTTCTTTTGATTAAAATTGTAGCGTAACGTGTATCTGTCCTTGTTTTTGGAATTTCATCCTCATTATAGGATCTTAGGATGGAATTCTTTGAGAAAGCCAAATCCGTCAGGCTAAAAAGCCACCACGGGAAATTCTTACATGCCAATTCCAATCAACAAACAGTGCACCAACATCGTCATGGAACTTCTAAGACTGCAAAATGGACAGTTGAATTTCCTGAAGGAATCAATAATAATGTTGTACGTTTGAATAGTTGTTATGGCAAATACCTAATGGCCACAGATGAACAATTTCTTCTTGGTGTAACGGGTCTTAAAGTTGTTCAAAGTTTGCCCAAAAATTTGGATTCCTCAATTGAATGGGAACCTGTTAAAGTTGGATCCTTAGTGAAGCTCAAAACAAGATATGGGAAATTTTTAAGGGCAAATAGTGGATTACCCCCTTTTAGAAATTCAATTACACATGACGTACCTTATAGACATCAAGATTGGATCTTATGGGAAGTAGATATTGTTGAGTTACTGCCCGACGTGACAATAATAACAACTATACCTCACTTTCAAGCAAGTAAAGAATTACTGTCCGAACCAAAGCCGGAATTATTAGATGGTGATTTGAGCTCATCTTTTCGTCTTACATTCTCCAGGTCTTCCAAGATTCATAATCAGGTTAGTTTTCTATATAAAGCTAATATCTAATATATTGATCACCACTTTCTTCTGCCAAATTAAATGAAATGGGGTAATTTCATGTCATCGAATTAACGGTCTACTGCAAAGAAGTCGTAAAATTATATTTTGTAACCAGAAAAATAAATTAATTATATACTTTTCGCTCAAATGAAAATTATTGGAAACTCATTTAAACCAATGCTAAAAATTTACAACTAATTAAGCTGACACATGATAAGATAAGTTTGTCAAATAAGTATTGTCACGTCACCAACACAAGAAACGCATTTACATGGCAACACCTATGTTATTACTTCCCCATTTTTACCCTAGTGTTATTCATATACATTTTTCCAATTTTTACCTCCATTTAGACTTGGCGTTAAAATTTATCAACATATATAAGATCGAAGTTGAATTTAACTATATATGTGTCAATGACATGGCAATGCTTTTACAATTTTATCTTATTGTTATTACCGGTGTTGAGTTAATAAATTTCTGGCAATTCTTATTTAAATGTATATTTCACTTATATACAGTATATATTGTATATATATAACTTAAATTCATTAACATGCAGTCAAAATTTGATGCTGCCATGACAAAGCCCGAAGGTCGACTGATCTATTATTATGTGGCAGATGAGAAGGGAACTGTGAATGATGCAGTGAAAGGACCTTCATTTCAGTTCAAAGGGCAAGGGCTAGAGGAACTGACTCAAAAGTTAGAGGAAGAAACAGGGCTCAAGAATATTACTTTGTGTTTGCGCAACAAAATAAATGGGAATTTATGTCCTCTTAAGTTAGAATTACCACCCAACAATGCAACTATGCATGTTGTGGTAGTGCCTTCATCATCTAAAGGTTAGTACGCTCGACATCATCTTAACATTTAACATTGTATTTTATTTATATATGTGTCGGCGGTTAAAAAAATAAAAAAAAATATGTGCGTGATTAGTGTTGCATAAATTATGAATTTAACTTATAGACATTGACAATGCAAAGACTAGTTTCCTTATTATGTGTATTGTAAAATGTCCTGGCAGGATATCTATCTTATTGTATTCGAGTGACTGATTCCGCTTATCATAGACTCGTCACCTGGAGTTATTTTTTAGATGACCCGATAGAATAAAAATTCTACATTGTAAGTATATAAAAATTAAATTCTTAATCTATTATAGCAGGTTAATTAGTACAGTTTTTAATTAACAGGTTATAAATTAATTATCTATTTTTACTTTATAAGTGACCTTACATCACATTTTTTTGAGTGCGGCTCTTTCCTAGACAAATGCGGATTTAGGATTTCTAGAACATGGTGCACCACTAAAAAAAATGAGGGAAAAAAATATTTATTGAGAATTGATCTCTTTTCTTTTAGGTAAATACCTTAATAGTTAATCAAGTGCACCATTCAATATTTTTGGATCGTGGGGGCACAAATAATAATAAAATCAATTCAAAGAGATATGTATATAAAAACCTAGTTTAGTGGAAAGATCATGAGTTTGCATACACCATAATTTAATCTTAAATCCGCCCTATTTTCAGATCTTTACATGAACACATGATGTTTCATGCACTATACTGCTTTTTTCTTTTTAACTTTATAAATGACCTAATTTTCTATAAGTCAACTAGATAAAACGGACTCATGAAGTCGATCTAAACAAAGTTTTATTCCACTGGAAATCAATTATTATCCAGCAGATTCTACATATGTTAACGTGCCTAATGCACCAGCACAAGTGATAAGGAAGACGCATTAGGTTGCTGTATCTGTTGGAGTTAAAAAGCGCACAATTTGATGGAGAATATCAAGCTTATGATTTTACACAAAGAGCCTCGATCTAATTTCTGAAGTGCAAACCAAAGAATAAAACCAAACTCCTAAGATATTAATATATTATACTATAGTACCTTTTGGCTCCTTGTGTGGAAGGTTTAGCTTCTGTTAGATCAATATAAATATAGTAGTCCTCAAAAATCATCTTTGTCACTCTTCAATTTAGGTCAAATTTGGCTTTTATGTCATGCGTTTCAACTTATATATTGTAAAGTTACCTATGTTATAAGTCAATTTTAAACTAATAGAGTATATAAATTCTTTACACGATCGAGCATAATCTCTTTCTATACCTGTAAGGCTGTATGTATTGATGTTCTTTTCTCTAGCTTTGTTAGCATGTGTGTTTATCCATGGTTTGTTAACAGCGAATATTATAGTTGTTTTTCTTTCTCTGAAACTGCAGCAAGAGAATAGATAGCAGATATTCCTGCGTCCGAATGGTCGGTGGTCAACAATCTATTCATGAAATTTTGCCATTACACGCTATCATGCATGTGAATTCACGATATACTGAAACTGTAAATAATTTTTATAATATCAGTATAATTTAACCTTTAACAAGTTACTAACTATTTTTATGTAGTTACTAACGTGTATCACAAAGATTTACTTATAATTATCTTAGAAAATATTTGATACCCATTTTCAGTGACGGACTCAGAATTTTACACAAGCGGATTCAATTTAAAATGACGCAAATCGATAGTATAAGCGGGGCATCGAACATAGCGAACAAAATGTGGTCGAATTTTTGTTAATTCTTTTCCTTTTTGTTCTCCTTTGTTTATAGCGTGATGTAAAAATTAAGTCATTTAAAAGAGAGTGCACTATATTTTACAAATTTTGGCATTTTAATAGTACAGAAACTATTTCCACCTAATTATTTGAATAATTTATCTTTTTTTAACCAAACACTCTTATCTATTTAATTTAACAAATTTTAATTTTTCAAAATTTCGTTAAAATTTAACAAGAAAATTATTTAACCAATAATTTTTTTTTATTAACGGCAAGAAATTAGACAAATTATTAAATCCTTTTTCGTTTATAACTAAAAAGGTATTATCTACAAATAGAGGATAATAAAAAAGAGTTACTATCTAAATTGAATTAATACCAATAATTAAAGAAAGAGGGCTAATACACTAAACCAGAAATTATAAAACAAATAAAAACTTCAACATGAACTAACAAATTATAAATAATTTCATTAAATATACTTGCATGATTTAGAAAATTTATGAAATAGAGAATTAAAGATCACTTTGTAGAAAGGTTTAATTTTTTGAAATAAAATAAAGTTGATTTCTATTGAATTAAGTTAAAAATATGAAGTAAAATAGAGAAAAGAAGAAGTGGAAGACATTGGAATAATAATTTTACAATATAAATGGCGGTTACTCATTGCACATTCTATCATAACATTTTGTTGTGAAAAGATATTTAGAAAATGTGTAAGAAAGTTGCAGTAAAGTTAAAATTATTTAACTCTCAAATAGTAAAAGATCACATAAAATGAAAGAAAGAACAATAACTAATGGTGTCAAATGAACCGATTTGAAACCGGACCGTCGCATTTATAAAGTTGCCTGCGAGTAAATGTGTCAAGGGGTAGCAATAGAAATAGAAAAGAAAAAATTACAAAAATCAATAAAAGGGAAAAGGGAACTCGAACACATGAACTCATGTGTAGTCTTGAACACACATAACCATGTTTACAAACGTAACATTCACTTCTAAGTGGGTTCAAATATATTACTATATAGGTATTTTCACTATTTTAAACATAAATTAGTGATGAACACAGCACTATTTTTCGATGAAGCGGTGCTTAGTAACACATGGGTCCGCCTCTGCCCATTTAAGGATACGACTAATTTGGATTCGATCCGAAAAGTAGTATTTTGAGGTAAAACATTTTCTATTAAAAATGACTTTATTTTTAGTACACGAAACTTAAATATTTGATTATGAATGAAAGAGTACTTACCACCCACCACAACTGTTGATGGTAATTATCTTATAAAACTTTCTAGTGTAAAGTAGGATATACACAATTACGTGTTATATGTCGCTTAAAATAGCTATACAGTGGGGTTAAACTCTTTTCGCATTAGTAAAAATCAAACTTAAAAGCCATGAGAATATGTCTGGACGGGCCCCACGAAAAGTTCCATCACTTTTTTTTCCCATAAAAAAAGTTCCATCATTTTAAAGAGGTGAATATGCAAAGTTTGTTCGACTAATTATGAGGTTTCACAGGCATTACGCTTTAAATGTTTCCGTCTTTTGTTTATGGAATATATTTTTTTAGTTTCGGTTCGCATTGGAGTCAGATCCATTCGAAATCTTTCTTTTATTTTTGTAACTCAAAACTTGTGATGTTTAATTCAAGCAATCCTATTCATCCTATACCACATGCTTGATGTTGTGGAATACATATATACATATTTTGAAATAATAGAGGGATATACTTTATTGAAAGAAAAAGTAAAATAGGGATATACTTTGTACTCCTATCATCTTATTGCGAAAGCATGAATCAGCAAAAAAAAAAAAACAAGGAGAGAGTAGAAAGATAGATGCATGATTTTCATTGTAAGAGTATGGATTTATACTCATTGGTCAGTGCCTTAAAATTTGATCTTAATTATATTAGTGAAATACTACCGCTAGTCATATTATTTGTCCTTTTAAACTGAAATTAATCTAAAATATTTAATGTTTTAGAAAAACAAAAGAAACATTTATTTTTTCAAAATTCACTCTTAATATTTCAATTAGAGAAACGTTTATTTCGATACTAAATATAGATAAAAAGTAAGTATAAAATATTCTTATAATTAACGCTATCAGATATATTTTTTTTATTAAGGATGAAAAAAAAAGTGAACTAACGGATAATATAGAACAAAAGATAGTAATTATATGACATGAAATAAAACAAAATAGTTAGTATGTTTTGATTAAAAGAACATATTTTTTTTGGTTAAAAGCTATAATTAATTAATGCAAATATCTTAAAAGCATCACGCTTATATCATGTGCCGAAATGCATAAGGACACCTTTATAATCCATTACCTTTTTTCAAGTTGAACTTTGATACTACAAAAAAGGACAGTCAAGCTCTATGATATAGAATTATAGATAGTGACATGAACAAAGTAGCACTTATGTATCTTTTGATATGCTTTTCAAGGTCGATCCAAATGTCCAAAACTTTTCACGTCTTTTCTCAGTCTTTTTTGTGATCACCTTCTAAATGTATATTCCAAGATCCTATCATCCTAATACCTCCAGCCAATGTATTGTGTTTGTCCATTATCCATGTTTCACCAAATCACATTACTTTATCATAATTTAAAAATAATTGAAATAAAAATATGCTAATTAAATTATAAAATATATATAGGCCTATAAAAGAAACATATCATATATTATTAATTGATTTTGGGTAAAGCAAAGAACATAAATAAAAATACATACAGTGGACTCTAATTAGCTTGCAATTGCAATATAGTGACTCTAATTAGCTTGCAATTGCAATATAGTTGATTCACAGGCACAATTGTGATTTTCTATTTTACTAAGATTTTAGCTTCATAATTTTATTTTTAAGAAATTAATGAAAATATGTTTAATTATTTCATCTGTTTAAAAAAGAATGAACCTTTTACTATTTGGGAAGTCAAACAAGGTTTTATTTGCAAAGAGTTTTAAATATTTTGAATTGTTAATTATTACGATTTATAATATTTTTATATAGTTTTTAAATATATAAATTTTATTTTAAAAAAATTATAGAATTTATATCCAAATTAACATAAAAAATTAATTAATTTCACTCTCTACTTCGAAAACATTCAAAAACAAATATCTTCTTATAGATGAAAACCAGTATTTTAAAAGGCAGGAGCGTAAGACGAGACGTTTTACTTAACGTGGAGTGAGGCATAAGCCCTGAGATATGGTGTATAAGCCCCATGAATCATAAAAAAAAAATTAATTTATAAATTAATAAAATAGCATAATAATCACAAAGAATATGAACACATTAAAAGCTTAAGAAAATTAAAAAATTAAACAAACTCACAAAAAATAAAATATTTAGCATTTTTTATAAATATAAATGATGCAATAGCGTTAAAGTTACTATAAAGATAAAAATCAGTTGCCACGTCTCATATTTCAAATGATTAGAAGATTATAATATTTTAAAAATATTATCAAACTACACAATCTATCTCTCTAAAAGTTAATAATCAAGAAACTCCATCAACAATGTAATTTTAAATATTACTCCATATGAGTAAATATGAAATTGCTTTCAAATAGCAAAATAATACAAGTATGATAATTTTGAGAGGCATAAAACTAAAACATGAATATCTATAACAACAACAACAGCAAACCCAGTGCAATCTCACATGTGGGGTCTGGGGAAGGTAATGTGTACGCAGACCTTACTCCTACCTTATGAAGGAAGAGATACGGTTTCTGATAGACCCTCGGCTCAAGAACAGTGAAAGGGACACAATAAACAAACATTAACAATGGCAAGGAAATAAGATAAAAGAAACATATAGCACAACATGTAATAGCAGAGAAACTAGGAATACGAAGTTATAAGAGAAGTGCGAAAACTACCGTCAATAATGCCACATCGTCTAATCAGCAAGGAACTCGGAATAGGAGAATATAAGACTAGTACTAATACGACTAGAAGAGACTCTCGACTACCTGTCAACACATAACCCTAATCCTCGATCTCCACACCTCCATATCGAGGGTCATCTCCTTGGTAAGCTGAAGTAGAGCCATGTCCTGCCTAATCACCTATCCCTTATACTTCCTAGACCTCTCTCTACCTCTTCTCTAACCCGCTATGGTCAACCTCTTGCATCTCCTCATCGGGGAATCGATGTATCTCCTCTTCACATGCCCGAACCATCTCAGCCTTGATTCCCACAACTTGTCTTCCACAGGGGCCACACCCACCTTGTCCTTAATAACTTCATTCCTAATTCGGTCCTCCCTGGTATACCCACACATCCATCTCAATATCTTCATCTCTACTACTTTTATCTTTTGGACATGAGATTTCTTGACCGGCCAACACTCGGCTCCATACAACATAGTCGGCCTAACTATCACTTTGTAGAACTTGCCCTTAAGT